CAATTTTGAAACCATTTTTTCCCAGGAACAAGAAGCTGCACAAAAGAATTTGAAAACGTAAAGCAAAGACTCACAGTTGCTTCCAGAGGTACAACACCGGTTTCCCTAGCATAATTTAGTTCACCACAACCTGGAAACACCACGGAAGCTCTTTGTGAAAACACTTCCCTAAATGTAATTTATAACATGCTGACCACAAACTGGATACATATTACCTATGAGTTTTTCGAGCTTTGTTTGAAGTAGTAATCCCCCCTAAAATATGAAGCCAGCTACGGTCAAACTACAATAAAATTCCCTATAGCTCCTCAAAACTACTCAAGCCACAACAATTCCATTCCATTGAGAAAAAAAAAATCAGGTTTATCACCAAAATCAAAGATGACCATAATTTGGTCTCAAATCAGATAAAATCACATAGGAATGTGAATAAATGAATACAATACAACCTAAGAAACTCATGTTGGAGGAACCCAGATTATGATGAAGATTGTTCAAACACATAAATTTGCGGTCAAAAAGAAAAATTCTTAAGAATCATAGACAGCTTTATGCAATCTAAACACAAGAGGTTAACGAATCACAATTTAGATACTGAACATTACCTCTTCCTTCGCATTCGCATTCTCACTTGGCCACATATCATTTTCTCCCAAGCTAACATTGATATGCTCTTCGTCTTCCTCTAAAAGACCAAACAACAGCTTGAGAATCACTCGTTAGACAACGAAAGAGAAATTTCATATGAAAGTAAGAAGCAACCCTCATCCTCACCAGATATGCTTTGATCGGAATCTAAATTCCCCTGAAATCCAACAATAAAATAGCAAAAAAGAAAAATCAAATTAATGCCCTGGCAGAAGAAGAAGTAAACAATTTACAAGGCTACAAGAAAATTACCGGTAAGTTACTTCGCCGCCACATTCGCCGTCAGCGTTCAAATGGACCTCGCCGGTGCTCTTCTCCGAACCGGCGTTGCCGAGAGACGAGAGTAAGTATATGGGCCCATTGAACGATCTCAACTTGCTTTATCGGGTTCATCGTAGTTGGGCTTTGATGGGCCCAATGCAATATCTAGAATTTGGTTTTGATACACCAAAGTTTGTAGTTAAGCAAATAATTAACCTGCCAATTCATCAATTTCACATTCTAGCCCCAAAATGTAAATATTTTTGACAATATGGGAGAGGTAATTCGTTTTTTTTTTTGGAAAATATATGATAACTTATTGATTGGTTGACCAATACAAACACAACTTTTTAATTACTTAACATAAACATGCATACTACAATTTGGAAATACATTAAAAACATTATTTATTTCTTAAAAAAGTTGAATATTTTTAAGTACCCTGCATCGTACCCAAGTTCCAAAGTGTTAGTGCTATTATAGAAAAAACAAATTATTATAAAAAGACCCTCCAAAGCTTACATGACACGCTCTACAGAAGATCCGCTGCACTTCTACTTTATCTATAACAAAACACTGCTATCCCGAAAATCGAACGGTCTGAAATCAATTACATAGGAAGTGTACCGTAGTCGTCGATACAGATGATTACTTCCCAAATTTATCCCCAAACGCCAAAAGAGTCGAGCGCGCAATTTTGAATTTAATTATT